TACTAGACTAGCATGCTTTTTGCATGACCAGGATTGCTTGGCATGGCGCAGGACGCTCTACTTTGGAGTCAGAAGTATACTGTTTGCCATGCTGGAAGGACGTCATTGAGAAGACTAGATGCAGCCATGGGCAGTGCCCAAGACTGCCTCTCTACGATTCGTGACTGACTGAACGCAGGCAGAAACAAGACTCTAAAATCTTGAGGGATGTCCTGAGGGACTTGTCCAACGAGAGGACAGAAGTTGTCTTGAGCAGAAAGACGACAATTTTTCTGAGCTGCACCATCGCTTGAGAACGCCTGCTACCATGGTTTCCGCACATGGTTGCTGAACGTGTGTAGTTATCCTGCCAGCTCTTCGCATATAGCTGGCCAACCGTGACAAGACTGCACCTCAGATTGCAGACCTGCAAACTGCTATAAGATCAGCTGCTGAGGCCGGGCCTGTTGAAAAGCCAAGGCACTTTGCAACTCCTTAAAAGCTACCAAGAAATAACCTTGAGCAGATTGGAGGGCACAATTGGCCCGTCCCAAGAATACTTTCAGATGTAAGCCCTGGCAGATTTTCAACTAGTGAGAAAGCGGGAGCCTTTGGATTACGATGAGGAGCTAGGCTAGCCGGATTTAGAGGATGAGCTAGAATTCCTGGAAGACTTTGGGGAGGAAGAAGAGTCAGAGGAAGACGCTCCTCGGAAAGATTACCCCCAGCAAGGTGCAGGCCCAAACAAAGCAAAGCCTGAGCCAGAGACTTTCTTCACAGAAGTTGCTAAGCTCAAAGAGTGTTTGAACTTTTCCCCCCAATTTGCCTTTGCGAGGGCTGGTAGGCGCATGGTCTGTCCACAAATTGCCCCCATTCACCAGACAGCGAGCGTGCGTCTCGTTTGTTCAACAGAGCACTCCTATGTCTGGCAGTCAGCAGAAGAAGCCAATCAGAGTCACATTCCAGCTGTTTTATAGAAGGCATGTCACGCGGCGCTGAGCGCATGCTGGGGTATCCAAGGGTTCGCAGAGTTTGCGGAGGCAATGGGGCTGAAGACTCCCTCAAAAATAAAGTCCCGGTACGACTTCCAAGAGGGGAAGGGGGAGAGACGGGGTCGGAGTGCGGTGGTAGAAGAAGTGAGTGCAGAGGACATGGCAACAAACAGGAAGGAAGCAATTGAGAGGGACGGAGCAGACGGAACGGTTGTGTATCTTGATGCCCGTTTCGACAGCAGGACCGGGATGGGTTTCATGGGACGGTGTCAGTGTTAGACATGAAGAATGGAAAGGTGTTGGCGCTTGTCACGATGACGCAGAAGGAACTGGGAGCAGCTGGAAGACGGAGGATGCGGCGGTGCGGCAGGCGCTTGAAGAGCTCAAGGAGGCAGGGGTTGATGTTGTAGAGGGAGTGCACGATGACAAATCTTCCGTAGATGGCATTCTGGCAGAGTTCGGTATTTGGAGCAGCAAAGACCTCTAGCATAAGTGCAAAAAGCTCATCATCAAGTTCAGAGCTGATGTGGGGCGAGCGAAGAGAGAGGGGCTGAAGTTGGTGGACAAGGCAAGGGCAGCGTGCGACTTGAAGGGTTTGACTGTGAAACAGCTCAAAGAGCACCTGCAAGCGGCCGGGCTGTCAATAAAAGGAAGGAAATACACGCTGGTGGTGAGGGTTTAGGCAAGTTTGGACCGGGAGGAGGCCCGGGAGAGCGTTGAGGAGGATGCCAGGTTGCAGAAGTTTCCGGAGGTGGGCAAGCATGATCTGGTTGGGAGGTTGAAAACCCACGTCTACACAGTGTGCCGAGCAAGAGCAAAAGCAGGGGATGAAAATGCTGAGCTGCTTGTGTTTGACATCAGGAACGCAGCTGATCACCATGGGCCGGCTTGCATGAGGGATGCGAAATGCTTGATTGCAACCGGGTTTGTGTTAAAGAAAAGTGGGGAAAAGAGCGGGCCTTTTACACGGCAGGCGGGGCAACCACGCAGCAATCGCGCGGCTGACTGAGTGAAGGGAAAGATTACTGTAAATAAGACACGAAGCACCAATGGAGTTGTAAGTATTACAACTTTAGCCTCCATTTTCATATTCATCATTTCATCCTTCACTAGGATGAAAAGCTTCATTTTCCTCACTATTTCCCGGATTCCGTTCATTATTTTCACATTTATTGAAGAGCCGGAAGATTGTGAGGGGAAGGAAGTGCATACATCCCTTTTTTGCCTCAGCAGCTGAGGGTGGTTCACGCTCGTCCTCATCATCCCTCGGGCCCCCTATACCCTCCCTTTCATCGCCTTCATCACCCTCATTCTCCTCACTGAAGATGAGGAGGATGAGGATGAGGATGAAGGATGAGGAAGAAGCTGAGGCTGTAATATCCTTTCTTTCTTGAAATTGGGGGCCCTTTACCCCTTTCATTCTCCTCCTCATCCTCTTCATTTTCACTGAAGATGATGAGGATGATGAAGATGCGGAGATGGGTGGAGGACGAAAAAAGGGGGCCAGGGGGGGGCTGCCTTTGCCACAGAATTACGAACAAAAGCCGAAGGTGCAATTTTCATCCTCTTTATTATATTCAGTGAATACAATGAGGCAGAAGAGAACAATGAATGGGGGGTTAGAGGGGGGCCGGGCCTTGGAAGAAAGAGAAGCCCAAGCCGGGCTGTTCCGGCTCGTCCTCCTCATTATATTCAGTAGATGTAATGAGCCGGAAGAGACCAATGAAACGGGGGTTAGAGGGGGGCCGGGCCGTGGAGAGAGGAGGGCCCCTTGAAAGGGAGGTTCCGGCTCATCCTCCTCATTATATTCGATGAGTATAATGAGGCAGAGGAGACCGGTGAAGCGGGGGGTAGAGGGCCCTCTAGAGCCGGGCCGGGGGACTTGGAGAGTGAATCAAAAAGCGGGTCGTTCTCAGCCTCCTCAATCT